TCATATATATATAACCTAGACATATATGTAAATCCTAATTTTTTTATCGTATTATTAATAATTATTTTCAAAAGTGTGACCATAATATGGAAAACGACTATTAAAATCATTTAATTGTAATTTAAAAAACCTAATCACTTGTTCTAGCCCAACGTGAAGAGGATAAATAAAAAGCACCGATACATCACCAACAAATTTTCATCATCTGACACGAATATGGAGACATGACACGGATCCTGAGATGATATTTGAGCAGAAAACGTTCAAATCTTGATAAAAATTCATCAAGATCTCTGATTTCAGTAAATTTATAGTCAAACTGACTGGCTCGATGAGACTGACCTAATGATAATCCGAGTCAAATCAAGTCATTAAACCACCCTTAAAAAATTTTCGGACACATTTGAAAGATCAAACAGATGTCGACACTAGCAAGCTTATTCTTGAATTGAGCTTCTCGACAAGATAAATCCAACGAACCTAAGACACACAAATATCCGTTAAACGCCATATAATCAAAGAAAACTCTGGACCGTCCGATCAAAATGGTTGATATTCTTGCATTAATTGCACCCAGAACGCTATAAATAAACACATACCCTTCACATGAGAAGAAGCTTAAGCCTAAAGAGAAAGCCTGAGGCATTTAGGAGAAGTTGTGGCTCAACATCCCAGTCGATTGTTGTTGACCACTGCTGACCTCCGTCGTCGACTGCCGCCGATCATCATCGACTGCCTACAACCGCCTATGACCGCCACCGACCACCGCCGACCATCATCGACCACGATCGACCGTCATCGATCACCACCAACCATCATCGATCACCGCTAACCACCATCAATCACCACCAACTAGACGTCGTCAATCGACGTTATAATCTGAAAAATATAGTTACCATTTCTTGTATGTGGGACAAAGATATTTCTGTAATCATCAATCAATAATAGATTTTCCGCAACTGGGCCAGACCCTGTGGTTTTTCCCTTATGAGTTTTCCACATAAAAACTTCTGGAGTCATCACTGTTTGTTTCTTTCATCTACGTGTGTGCTGAACTTTCGTACAATACTAAGATGATAGTTCGTTACTCTACTGCCGTAAATTTTCTAGCACACATCAAACACATTTACAAAAAATGTTGTGAAAATCTTATGTAAATTTTTACATTTACATCTATAACTCTCAAAATGTTGAAAATAGCATTAAAAGTATGACCATTGCTAATTTTTCAAAGTAAAATGCATATTTTTTTTGCATAGTTTATGACATGGATGTTCTATATCTAACTATTCGAATTTATGAGTTGGATGTGTTGGATATATAAACACATAAAAATTGTAGGTTATGTATTTAAATTTTCCAAATAAAAATATATATTCTCTCTCCAAATAATTTAACCCAAAATGAAAATAGATAGGAAAAAGAAAAGTCAAACTATAGCCATCATATCAAGTCAACCCAAACCAACTCACAGAAAAATATAGACAAGTGGACCCCATAGGTTAAGTTTCAGCAATTTCTTTCCCACTGCCCACATGACTTTCTCACTAAACCCTAACCCTAACCCTAACCCTAAGAAGTTCTGACCCACTAAACGCAGAGCCAACCTGGCACAAACTGCAAGTCATTATCAGACTACAATGCTTTGATATTAGCTTTAAAAAATATCACTTGAATTTTTTCTTTATTTGAAACTTGGTGATTTTTTTTAAGTGATTAATCATTTTTTTTATAATTTATACCACTAATATTAATAAATTTTATTTAATATTTTTGCATTACAATCATCCAAAATATTAATTATAGTATTTTAACCACTTAAATTTTAAATATTATATTTTAATCACTCAAAATTTTCACTTCAAAGCACTTATTAGATTTGAATCTAATTATTTTCTTTTATTAAAAAGTAAAATTAAAAAAAAAATTATAAAATTAAAAATTCAAAAAAAGAAAAGTTTACTTCAAAGGAGCTCTATAAGATTTGCCCTTCTCCTCCTCCACCCTTCTCTCTCTCTCTTGATGTTCTCATGGCAACTATAGATCTAACAGCCGCCACCACCACCACCACCACCAACACCTCTCAATTCCTCCACCGACAGTTCCATCACCTCCACCCCTCGATCCCCCACCCTACCAAATCCATTTCCGACGACACTAACGCTCTCTCCGGCAATAATCCTACCGCCGACATCCTCCTCCGCCGGCCCCGTGGTCGCCCTCCGGGCTCCCGGAACAAACTCAAGCTTCCCTTGGTTGTAACTCGAGAAACTCCCAACACTCTTCAATGCCACATCCTCGAAATCGCAAGCGGCTCTGACGTCTTCACCGTCCTTTCCGACTATGCCCGCCGTCGCCAATGTGGTGTCTGTATTCTCACTGGCCACGGCACCGTCACCAACGTAAGTATCCGGCAACCCGCTGCAGCCAGTAGCATACTGAACCTCCATGGTCAGTTTGAATTGCTTTCCCTTTCCGGTTCCTTCCTCCCACCACCGGCGCCACCGGGTGCAACCAGTCTTGCCATATTTCTCACGGCGGGCGGTCAAGGACAGGTTGTCGGCGGGAGTGTCATCGGAGCGCTGATCGCCGTCGGGCCGGTCATAGTTGTAGCTTCATTGTTTGCAAATGCTGCATATGAACGGCTGCCGGTGGACGAGGAGACATATCAGTCGACAGCAGCAGGTGACGGCAGCAGCAGGAAACTACTAAATTTGCCGCTCAACTTTCCTAACGGTCAATTGCCGCCATTTTGATCATTTGAGGAGCTGGTGGGAAAGGTTGGGAATGGTGAGGAAAAGCTATATCATATATGGAAAAATTATTAGAGATAAATATAATGAATATTTGATTAATTAAATTTTTATATTTAGTTATTTAAAATTAAATTTAATGGATAAAAAACTTATTTTTGATTAAACTTTAGTGAGTTTAATTTAACTTAAATTACTTTTCAATAGAGCTTCTAATGTAGATCTTATTATCCATGTAATTGCATTAGTCATGATATTTGTTTTGCAAAAATTGTAATTTAATAATTGATCTGCAATATAAATTATTTTATTATGTAGCAAATTGATTTTTCCCTATATAATTTCTTATTTTATATTGTAAGATTATATTAAGTTATTATTATTATTATTTAATATTTGAACTGAAATATCTAGATTAGTTTGTTTGCTTTGAATTCTATTGTGCGGTATATTTTTATTTTCTTTTTTTAATTCAATTTGTGATCTCTTATGAAAAAAAAAATTATCAACTTTTCAAATAATAAAAAATATTTTGTGAATTATGATTATTGTTTATATTTTTATCTTAAAAGAGAATATACAAATGGCTTTATTTATTATAGGAGTGTTTAGACCTAAAATCTTTCTAATATTGTGCTGATTTATTATTTAGTCTTTGTTAGGGCTGTCAAAACGGCTCGTTGTTTACGAAAAACAGCTCGTGTTCGGCTCGTTAAGAAGCTCGTGTTTGGATCGTTTGCTAAGTTAACGAGCCGAACACGAACAACACGAACAAATATTTGTTCGTTTGTGTTTGGCTCGTTTTGGCTTGAAATACTACTAATCAATTATATATATATATATATTTGATGAGTAGTATTTTTAAAAAACTTAATTGATTATAAGGCTACAAAGATTTATAATCAATTAAAAGTATTAATGAAGAAAATATAACAAAAATTATTAAATTAGATTCAAATGATGTTTTAAATCTTGGCTCAATCCTTAATATCTTATAACTACGTGATTATGGTTGCCAAAATGACTCTTTGTTCGTGAACGGCTCGTGTTCCGCTCGCTAAGCAAACAAACCAATAAGCAAACAAACCAAACACGAACACACTTTCTAAGCTCGAAATATAAACGAGGGCTCGCTCGTGTTTGGCTCGTTTACACCCCCAGTCTTTGTAGCACTAGTTTTAAAGCGGGTGATTAAGAGAAGCCGCAGAATATATTCCAGCTTGGCATTCAAAAACGTTAGATTTACTTTAAAAATGGGTTTAACACAATTTTAATAATGTTAAAAATGAGTAATTTTCATTTTATTTTTTAAACTTAATATATATAACTTTATTGAAATGAAGCGTAATAATTCTCTAAAAAATAAGAGCATATTTGTCAAGCTATCGGGACAGAAATTTCGTTTGGATGGGCGTGAATGCTGTAATATATATATATATAGACAGAGAGAGAGAGATTTATTAATAATGGTCGGAGACTATGATACGAGCCCCCAACCACTATCATGTGCTTAACCACGCGATCCCGCACTACAAGGCAGATGCATTCAAGCTGGGTTGCACTACCAAAAACCTACGGTGAGCAGCATATACAAAAATTTCATAATTAAAATCTTTCTCGTCGAATCAAACCCACAAGTTGAAGTGTCTTAGTCAAGCCTATTTGTTGATGTGACTGAATCAAATTCACATGCCAAAGTGGCCAAATCGAACCCACTTGCCGAAGTAACAGATTAAGCTCAAGCCCCACCTTCCTGAATAAGGCAACCTTAAATGTATCCAAGCTAAGAACAATTTGAGGAGGCCGTAAGCCACCTCGAACATCCATCCTTCTCTTATTTAAAAACATTGTCCAATACTGGGGATTCCATCCCATCACCAGAGTATCGGAGATAGTCATCATCTCGACAATTTATTACATTACGATGCACTCTGTTATCCATGACATCGATTTATGTCCGAAAAAGGTTAATGATACAATGTGAGTTGTACTATTGATATTAGTTTATTTCTTCCCCGATATGTATAAAAGGAGGGGAGATGAAGAGAGAACGGGTCCTTTTCCTGCTCCTTCCCCACATTAAGGTCTGGATCTTCTTCCTCATTCAGGCTTTAATTTTGATCTTCACCTTCGAGACCATTCTCTTCTCTCCCCCTCCCTTTTTTGGATACTCTTCGTGACGCATGTTTTTGTACCGAGTTCTAATGCCAAAATTTTGAGTGGTATATATGCATATGTGTGTGTGTGTGTGTGTGTGTGTGTGTGTGTGTGTGTGTGTGTGTGTGTTCTCTTCTCTCCCCCTCCCTTTTTTGGATACTCTTCGTGAAGCATGTTTTTGTACCGAGTTCTAATGCCAAAATTTTGAGTGGTATATATGCATGTGTGTGTGTGTGTGTCTATATATATATATATATATACATATATATGAAATTTTGTGTATTTATGTCCTAATTTGCAATTTTTTTTATCAGTCAACTTTTAAAATTAAATAGATGAGTGGGAAACATGTTTCTTTAGATATTCTTTATGTAAAAGTGCACATAGAACTATTCCCAAAAGATTTTATAAGGTCACACATTTGGTATATTCAAAACACAACACAAAAGACAAACTCAAAACATAAACAATAAATGTCAAGACAAAATAAAAAAAGTAACACCAATGATCAATTTTGTGACCATAAAGTCTAAACATTAATATAAAAATGCAAAATGTAGTATTTTAGCTTAAAATATCTATGTTGATTGAAGAATATAAAATAAGAAGAGTTCTAAAGGGTGGCTTCTACCTCTGGGTCAGTTTCAATAAGCTCGGGTGCAGGTGTATTATTGTTTCCACCCCTTAAACGTGAGGAGACGTTGTCTATGGCTGAATTTAGTTGGCTAATCTTAGCATTCAGAGTTTGACGTGTTTTCTGCTTTTGTAATAGATGCCGATAATGATCAACTTAGTTAGGAAAAAATGTGGATTGTAATTAAGTGGTATGAGACATGGAGAGTTCATTACCTCAAGGCCATCGTCGTAGTAATATATAGGTCGCTTGGCGCGTCGAAACCCTGATTCATCTTCGTTTAATATTGACCTCCGGATCTGCAAATCAATGTAAGTAAAGTTCATAGAATTTATTGATTATGTGTTTGTTTGGGATGGCTACAACTAGGGGTGTAAACGAGTCAAAGCAAGCTTGAGTTACCCTTAGCTCGAGTTTGAGGTTAAGCTCGAGCTCAAGCTTAATTCTATGAGTTTGAGCCAACTTGTTTATTAAGAGAAAAAAATATTAATTCAAACTAGTGTTATAATAAAATAATAAATATAATGAACATTTAAGAGATAATTAATAAGAAACCACCTAATGTAGAATATAAAATATTATTTTTTAATTATTTTTAATAATTTAAAGATAAATAATTAGATTTTAATATATTTTGAGTATATTTTCTATTAATTATTTTTAAACGAGTCGGCTCACAAGGAAACAAGTCGATTTGGGGCTGGCTTTTGATTGGCTTGTTAGCCCGTCAAGCTCAATTCACGAACCACCTATTGAGCCGAGCCCAAGCCGGCTCACAAGTTGGCATGGCTCAATTACAACTCAAAACACAACTATCTATAATAGCTATAAAATTGTTGGGCAAAAAAGAAGATTTTTTAGGAGGTATTGTCTGTATTATAGATTATTTTCCTGTAAAAAAAAAAAAGAACAGCGACTTCTTGCCACCAAGCTCTAACAATTCTGATTGTAAAAAGTACTTCAAAATGCAAAAAAAAAAAAAAACTGAAAAACAGTAAAAATAATGTAGCCAAATAGAAGTGTAACAAATGCCTGAAAAAACAAAAAGAAAAAAGAAGAAAAACTCCCCAAATAGAACAAATTAGACATGTTAAAGTTTAGGGGTATAATAAGCACCTGTGGAGCGAAGACATAAGCCAAGGTTCCAAACAATGCTCCTCCTAAGAGAAAACCAGCGAGAAAATCACCACCTCCTCCTCTGGAACCATCACTGTTATGCAAATTTAACAGTTTTAAATGATGAAAAAAGTATGAAAATGGCCGCTAGACATCTCAAATCAGAATAAGTACTGCTGGAAATTAAATAAATGAACAACAAAGAGAAAAATACAGTGAACATATTTAGGTTCTGGGGCAACTGTGAGCAATTAAAAAAAGATAAAAATTAAAAATTGATATTTGCAATAAATCGGAGATCTCAATCATCTCTTTTAGACATTTGATAGAGGAATAAAATTAACAATCTCTCACTTGCAGGCTAAAGATTGTATATTTAATGATCCATATTAAAATAACTCTATATGTGAAAACTCTTAATCCTCATTCATGACATTAACTGACGCATTGCATAAACAAGATTTTATATTGTTATCATTTTGTGAGCATATATTGATTGTTGGAAAATAGACGAAACATAGCAAGAAAAAAAATGATAGCAGAAAAAGGGATCAATTGAAAACAAACACAAAAATAATTGTTTATAAGTTCACCCAATCAATGGCTACGTGTTGTTGCCATCATTATAGATTTCATAATGGTTTTGATTATCCAGAATTACCAATTTTATTTCAAGTTCAAAAAAATATATTCCACAGCAACAAAATTTGTGTAATACATTTTCATCGTAGGACAAAAAGTTGACTCCAAAACATGACATCAGTGAGTCATGGGGCATCTCCTTCAACGAAAATGGCATAAAAGGGAACAACATTCATTATAAAATGATGGCTCTTTGGCTAGTATTAGCTTCTTTTTGTGATTTACCAAGAGCCCTTCCCAAAAGCTTTGGAGCCAGATCAGCTCCCTGTAAGCTGCAATAATGACACGAATTCTATTTTTGTAGTTGATAATGCTATTATTTTCTGAAGTAGTGTCATTAAACCATGACAGTGTCACCCAAAGTATAAATGTATCGCTTGTTTGGATCTCCAACAAGATTTGAATCAATGTAGTAATGTCACTTAAAGCAAATTATTTTAAACTAAGAGAATGGTTAATTGTACTTTTAAGCTCTCAAAATAAACACTTAAAAGCTTCCTAGGGTTCTGACCCAGGGCTCATGGGCAGACCTACGTTTGAGTCAGAGGGGGCAATTGCCCTCCCCTGGATTATGATATTCTCCTCATAAATATAGAGAGTTTTGTCATTTGCCCCCTCTAAATAATAGAAGCTGTCCCCTATTCAACTCTAACAGCTTTTATAAGTAGCCATAATGATTAAATTTGTATAAATGTCACTTAATAAGTCAAGATAATATAAATTAATTTAGGAATTAAAGTATAATTTAAAATTTAATTTGAGAGGGGAGCCTCTTATTTTATTTGAAAGTTGATCCTTCACGCACGGTTTAAAAAGTTCAGTAAATGTTGTTACACCCTTTCCATTTAAGGAGCAAAGACAGTGTTAAATTTCAATGTGGGGCTAAACTCCCCGTTGTTGTTTTATATTTCGGAAATGTAAATGCATACCACTCAATTTCTATGTATTTACATATCTAACACCTAAACCTGTGCAGCGTACCCCGATCTGTTGGTTGGCATCCACGGTATAAGACCCTCAGGTCGAGGGTTCGAATCCTCTATGACATAGTTGGTCTTAAGGAGATAATACTCGAATTATTAGGTACATTAGGAGTGGTTGGAGGCTTGTATAATAGCCTCTGGCCATTCCATTTGAAATGAAAAAAAAAAAAAAGAACTAACACCTAAACTTCAAGTTTTACATACATGCCACCTTTACTATGCTTTACAAGGTGTATTTCATTTTTTTCAAAATTAAAATAGTGGTATTAAAAGCTAAAATACATTTTTATGTGATATAAAAGATTTGGGTGGTATAAATATAAAAGTAAAAGCTTATATGTTAGAAAAGTAAATACATAAGAAGCTTACGGTATGTATTTAAACGCCCCTTTATTAAAAAAATAAAAAGTTTTGCATACTTGTAATATATATTTGTATTAAAAAATCCCCATTTTTTGTGATATTTAAGCTAAACAAAATAGATAATAAAAAATATAAAATAAAATTATAGTTAGCTTAAATATGGAGATTTATTTACTAATTATTTTGCATACAATTATTTATTAATTTTTTAAATAAATTTTTAGTAATAAGAGTAAGCTTCACATGAAACTTTAACAATTTTATTTTTATAATAAATTTGCCACCCCTAAAAAATGATGTTGCTTCCGGCCCTGATGGGGCTCCTTGGGGATTGAATCAGTTCAGCCAAGTAACTACAAGGGATGATCGGTCCATGTTATGGGCTAGTTTGCTGCCCAAGCGGAGGGATTTGTCCCTTATAGTTATCTACTATATATACATATTATTTTTTGTTTTAATGATAGTTTTTTCTTTGAGATTTATGTTAGGAAGCCGTCGGTGCCTTGTTTTCCACTTCGAAGGTTGTACTCGACGGTGAGAAGATACTCCGAATATAACCCGTCCCGAGGTGATGTTTATCCTTCCTTTTAATGTTTGCTGCCGCCAACTCCACCCTACCTTCCCTACTGCTACTGTAAGACACCCACCCTTCTTGTATCCTGCCTCAAGCCCAAATCCTTCTCGGTTTCTTGCCACCAGTACCACTTCCCCACGAACACACTTTC